ATGCCAACAATGATTACTCTGAAATTCATATGACTTATTTTTCTGTTGCTGTTAACCACAACTTAATTTGTGTAAATTTAAGCTTTCAACTGTTTATAAACAATTTATAGAAATATACTTAAAACAGAAAATTACTGTCACTGTCTAAAAATAAAAATATCCAAATGAATTTCAAATGTAGGCCTACAGTAAACCATTGCAAATGCAAAGAATAGGCCTAATACTGTCTCTTATACACATCTAGATGTGTATAAGAGACAGGTACCAACTTTGTTTATTTGGTAAATCAACAAAAGCTATAATTAGAGCTTTATTGGTTAGAATCCTGATTTTCAAATTATGAAATATATCATTTTAGATCCTCCAGTATTGACTACTAAACCTCAGGTAGACGTATCCAACACTACTGTAACAGTAACATGGAACCAGTGGACAGACACTGTTGATGAAGGAGATGGTCCAGTAATTGGATACAAAGTCTGCTATACAATGATTGGAGGTTCATGGCTATGCGTCGAATGTGTCCTGAATTTGACAGCCAGCTTTGTAATTGATAAATTCCAACGAGGATTAAGTTATTATTTTCTAGTTAATGCAATTCGTCCGGGAAACCTAGGAGAGGGCACTCACTCCCATGCGACCTTAGTCACAATCCCTTGTCTTTGTAAGTAATTCTATGAAACTTTGAAATTGCATTATAACAGATTTGCTGTTACTTAAATCAAAGAAAATAAAAATTTCCAAGTATACAAATAATAATAAAATATTTTTTGTAGTTGGTCACATAGATATACTGTTTATAGTATATATTTTGTGTTTTAGTCCTTGTAATTTAATATAGTAGTACTCTTTGAAGCTGACATAAGTTGGGGGGAGGAATAACTTTACATAATGTTGTACATTAAGCCAGCATAGAGGAAGCAAAAGAATTGTTAACCAAGCCTGTAAGAATGATTGAGAAGGAACTCACAAAACTGACTAAGCCAACAGTAAAATTTCTTACCACAACAGTTTCGAACAACTTCATTGATCTTCATCAGGTGAATGACCTAACCACAGTTAGATCATTTCGTCGTCCGATGTCATCCGATGACGTGCGCCCTCAGTTGGTTTGCGAGGTCTTATCCACGGAGCCCCCTGTTTCCCGGATTGGTGTAAAAGGTCATCATAGATATGTGATCGCTCGTAGGCTCCTTCATCTATATTAATGTTGTTACTTTTCTTTCTGATTCATATTGCTTCTTTGTCTGTTTATGTTTGGCCAGTCTGGTATGTATACAGTAGGTCTTCCAGTTTCTCCAACATGTATACTGCATCGCAATTGCCGCAGGCCACTTGGTATATGACGCCACTCATTTCTTCCTTCTTGATTTTATCTTTCGGATGAACGAACCTTTTCTCTTATTTTATTCCACAGCTTATAATATGCATTGATGTGATGTTTTTTCAATGTTCGCTTGATTCTTTCTGATAGGCCTTGTAGATAAGGGAGACTGACATTCCCTCTCATCTTGCTTGGTGAGTCATTGATTTTTTTTTGTCCTGGGCTTGTTTTTTTCTTTCTTTGGTTCTTGACTCTGTTTATGGACCATTTTGGGTAATTGCATGCCCTGAGTGCTTTGTTTATATTCTTTGTTCTTTTCTTCATCTGTGGTGAGCTATCCATCAATTTCCGAACCACACTTAATTTGTGTTGTAGTGGGTGATGGGAATTGAAATTCTGAGGTTAGGTCATTCACCTGATGATGAAGATCAAAGAAGTTGTAGTGGTAAGAAATTTTACTGTTTTCTTAGTATCAAAGAAAATTCATCTAAAATATATATCAGAAGCCAAATGAAATTATTTGAACATTTTTAATTAATAGCTGCTTCATCAGGTAGCATATCATTTAGGACATGTTGACCAGGATCTTTAACTTTGGTGAATTAACCCTTACTGAGGTCATCCCTTTTTACAGTTAGAGGGGTAATGAAGTGTGATCATCTAGTCTACAGGCGTGGTTTGAAAATTCTTTACTTGCTCTATGCTGACTTGTGCGAAATTATGTGCATAGCTTGAAATTGAATAAACTTACTATTAAACAAGTACCAGTAGATGGATATGTTTTGTTAAGTACACAATATATTTACAGATAATTGTATATATATATGAAAACTTTCTTTCAATTGAATATTTATATATTTTGCTGTATTTAAAGTGTTGCTTTTTAACTTTTCATGTTAATATTCATGAATTCTTTGTAGAGCAAAAACCTTATAATGATTTTTGTAACTGAATATCATAAATTTAATTGTTTAAAAAACATTTCATGGTATTATGAATTTTAAGTACACTTAATTTATTTGTTTATTTATTCTGCCTTTAACGTGCACTAGTGTTAGCTACTTTGACTTTCTTAAGGTTCCTAACACTTTCAGTGATGTAGCTACTGTATGATCTCACTAGTGCCATGCTTCCCAAACTATGGGTTGCCAAACTTTTGCGTTGGGTCATGAACAGTTTTGCAAAAAAAAAAAAAAACAATTCAATTTATGTGCTCATTTTCAGACAGTTGATGTGAAGTTTAACAGGTCTGACAATTTAAAAAGAGTATTTTTAGGTGAATCTTCATTAGAACAACATTTTATTATATGCCCACAATGATTACTCTGAAATTCATATGACTTATTTTTCTGTTGCTGTTAACCACAACTTAATTTGTGTAAATTTAAGCTTTCAACTGTTTATAAACAATTTATAGAAGTATACTTAAAACAGAAAATTAATGTCACTGTCTAAAAATAAAAAAATCCAAATGAATTTCAAATCTACTATAAACCATTGCAAATGCAAAGAATAGGCCTAATATAACAAAAAGCACCTGTCATGCACTTTGGTTGGTAAGATTATACAGTAGTCAGTTGCGTATCCAGGAAGGGTGCTTGGGGGTGCTGGAGCACCCTCCCTCAGAGGTTGAAAAATTTCCCCTTTTTAAATGTTACATAAAAGCTGACATACATTTTTTTGTATTAAAGTGCCATTTTTCAGCATGTAAAAGTCTCAAATTCTTAAATATGGTGGGCTTAGGTGGATGGTAGTTTTCATAAACTTTAAGTATCCAAGTGCTCAAATCTCACATTTTTTAAATTTACCCATCTGTGCCCCAAAACAATGGTGGGTTTCAGGTGGATATCGTTAATTTTGTACTATTCAAGTACTATTTGCAAGTATCTAGAAGTCTCAAATTCTTAAATTCCAAAAAAATACAATATGCACCTGAAACTTACTGTGGTTGGGGCTCAGGTGAGAAAATTTTAAGAATTTGAGACTTTAAGTGCCATTTTCGAGCACCGTTTTAATAATTCAGTTTATTTTTTTACTCATTTTGTCGAACATAAAAAGAATTACACGATATTTTGAAGTCCCATTTCCGGGCATCCAAATGTACAAAATACTGAAAATTTTTACATGTCACTGCCAACCACGGTAGCACTGATGTGGTGTGGACTCTCATTTCATTCAACACACACTTCTTAAATCCGGGATATGCCACTGGTAACCACAGGGGTAAAATTTAGGTTTAAGTTCATCAAATATATAATTCAAAGGTTGTAAAATATTTTTTGTAAAAAGGTCGATCATATTTTTTTTTCAAATATTAAAAGTTGTCTCATTTTCTAGTGGCGGATTCAAAGCTCTCTCCTCCCCCATCCCACTCCAATATTCATCAAATATATAATTCAAAGGTTGTAAAATATTTTTTGTAAAAAGGTCGATCATATTTTTGTTTCAAATATTAAAATTTGTCTAATTTTCTAGAGGCGGATTCAAAGCTCTCTCCTCCCCAACCCCACTCCAATTAAAAAAAATCATGGAGAAAAAAGGGAAAATTGTATTAAAATTTAATCTGAGAATAATAATATAATATGTCGGTCTTAAATAGTGCATCATGCATAAAGCCTCATTGCTACCCCGGTCATTGGCTCAAACACGTATGGAACACATGCTCAGCTCCCTGGGAAGAATTCCATAATATTGCAGTTGTAATCAGCGCAGTTGTGTTCGAACCTACCAGGTACTCACTTGTATTCCTGGGTGGAAAAACGCAACCATAAAGTGCCTTACCCAAGGACACAAGCAATTTGCAAAGCGAGAGTTTCGAACCCCCGACCTCAAGGTTAAGAGCCACAACCGCTTCTACAATAAAATTTCCGGCCATCTACGGGTGCCATAAGGATAAAATGTCTTACCTCAGCTCCAACTATAGTGGGGCTGAGGTGGATGGACCCTCTATATGTTAAAATCCCTCTTTGGACGTCCCTCTATTATGAATTCCTGTATCCACCACTGTTTTCTCAAAAGGATGATCACTAGTAAACAAAAAACGCTGTAATTCTAGTGTCTTAACTTTTGAAAACATAAAGCATCACACTTTGGGGATCTTATGAAGGTCAATGTGCAATTTACTATGACACTTACATGGGTCGTGGCTTGTCTGGCAAATCACAAATTGGGTACAGGGGAAAAAAAGTTGTTGGATGGGGGTTGGAAAACCACAAAGAAAGTGATTAATTTCGGAAAAGTTATTTAGGGTATAAAGGTCCTGTATGCAATATGGCCCACATGAACATTAATGTGGAAGTAGTGTAATTTTTTTAAAGTAAGGACTGTCTTTCACTGCCAAATTACCACCAGAGAACCCTACTAGAAATAAGTCTTGTGAATTCTGTTGATTAACCTAGGTGTTTAAAAGTGAATAAATCCAATCCAATTTATAATTATGTACTTTTTGCTTTACAGCTCCTGAGGTGGCGCCCACTATTGTTGATGTTTCGTCACTAGGTGTTAGTAAAATTCAAGTACAATTGCAGGTAATATGTTTAATTGATTACAGCAATAATATATTAGGAGACTTTCTTACTATTGCTTTGTGACTAGGCCGCTGTTTTATGTTACAGCTGTATGTAACTGATAATAGGGTATACCAGAAACATATGAAAATATATATATATATATATATGTATATGTATGCATGTAGTTGGATTCATATAGCGCTTTATACCAAAACAGTCTCAAAGCGATCGAGGTGTGGATTAACTTGTAATCTCTACTGTTGTGTGTGTGTTACCTGAGTTGGTTGATGGAAGAAAAGTTCATATTATTGTAAATCAGGCCTCGCTACATATGTATGTCTATATAAATATATTTGTTTTTATACCGCATATGTTTATTCTAGGCAATGATTGGTTAAGAAGCAGGCAATAACTTCAATTATTACTTCTATCACGTAGGTTTGAATGATAGTTCACTTTTTCCCAGGGGAAAAGTATCACCCTGAATGATAGTACTTTCTTGCCCTGTTTTGATGTGTAATCTCTAGGCCGCCACCTATAACATTGCTATGTAATTTATGACACACACGGATAGTAAAGGCGGATGAGACCTCTACGACTCTTGACCCTTTGATTGCCTAGCCCTGGAAAGTAAGCCTTGGTCAACTTTGGTGTGTAATTTTTTCGTAACTTTTTAGGTCTCTATGTATGAGGTATATAAAACAAATATTAACTGCTCTAGATTCGAGGAACGGAATGAGCATGAGCAGTCAATATTTGTATAATATATTGTAAGTCTGACCTACAGTGCATATGTATATCTGTATAAATATATTGGTTTTTTGTTTATTCATAGCTAAATGATACTGAGCATTGGAGATGTAATTCACTGGATAGTTATATAGTGGAATACAAAAAGTCTGAGAGTGCAAGTTTCCTACAAATACAAACTGCAACAGATACAACATCAGTGACAATTTCTAACCTAGAACCTTGTACCAGCTACCAAATTAAAGTTAAAGCTACAAATTCTGGAGGGCTTGGACCAAGTTCTGGCATATTCACTGTTACAACAGATGTACAAGGCAAGACTAATTAACTATATATTGATATGCCAATGGATAAATATTGTAAAGATATTTTAGTGTTGACAACTAGTTAACCAAGTTTTGAATGGGTCCTTTTATTTGTAATCCACATAATAAATCATGCCATTTTCACACTTATTCTTACTTCAATGAGTTGAAAACTTGCCTTGAATGGGCCTTGGTACTACACATATTAATTTAACCTATTCTTACCTTCAATGAACTGTTTGGTTTGCTTACTAATTATGCAGTTTTGCACTTTGATTTTCATGAATTAGTGCCATCAAATGTCACAGTGTATGTATTTTAAAGCCCCATTCCCGGCAAAATTTCACTAAAAATTGACTTTTTTTAGAAAATATGCATTTGCATTACTCCAATTATTATAAATCATGGAAAAATATTGGCATGAATTTTAGTTTTA